ACCATCTTAAAAAATGTTTTGACAGTGTTTGCTAGTATGTGTCCATTGTATCACCATGATAACTCCTAAACATTACCATTAGAGATACATGTACAACACCCCAGCGTAATGTCACTGCAAAATATCAATCGGCAACGCTTACTGTATATGAAGTAAATAAGCCACGTTTGTGCCCATGCATAATTGTACACACTTGTTTGAAATCTGGTGTTCCTTTCAGCATCTGCAAGAAGAAATTGTAATCAAGGAATTAGCATACATCCTAACATCTGAAACACAAGATTTGAATAATTTGTGGGTGTAGAAAAGAGCATTGTGGACGCCTACTCCAGTCTGTTTCAACTTTAAACCATAAGCTTTATGTAAATGTACTATTGTCTGTTTAGCATTCTGTGAAACTCTGCATACATTAAGAGCAAAAGAAAGAAGAACAGGGGGATGTATATGATCTGATGGTAAAATGGATTCTCATATTTGTGCTTTAAATTGATATATGAATAACTCAATGCTGTATGGTTAAAGGCAGTGCACTTCAACTTCAAGATTTATGTTTGATGACAATTCATTAGTCACAATGCAAATAAGTTTGTTTGTTTATCATGTTGGAAGCCACAATGTAATGCAAATCCAGTAGAGGTTTATGCATGTATAACTGTATTAGGTGTGTGCAATCAAATAGTGATTTAAACCACTACCTATTCTGAATATGATTTTACAGACTAGTTTACAGAGTGTAGTGTTCTTGAACTCATCTTGCTCATAGTGGAATTTTCAGCATGATTAAAGGATTTATATTATTATTTTCTCATCACAGATACCTGGAGTTGTGTTTTATTTCATTCACACATGTTTAACACTCAAGTCCTTAGGCTGTGATCTTCTCTCAAACAGAAAACACTATTCTACCTTGCGCTGTCAATAAAGGAAGTGCTTGACTGTGTTTTTAAACTCCATACACCTTCACTAGAATTATTTGTATAATTTCAGCTCTAGAATTGCCAATTTCTACTCAACTAAAAATAAAAGGTAGCTGTTAAATTACCACTTCAAGACATCGCAATGGAGATGTAGACAGACTAATAATAAAGGGATACTCTAACATTTGTGAATGAAACAAAAACACAACTCCATGGATGTTTTTGGTAAGGTAACAACATTCTAACATGACTTAAATTTCACAAGTCAATTTTTTATTTATTTACATCTATCTGAAATAGTTTCTCTAATTTCATATTTTAATTTAATATTTTAATCTCATATTTTAATTCCCACATTGTGACAAATACCTAGCTAGGCTGGCACCACCTAGTGACTCCACTCTATTTCATTTCTCTCCAGTGACTAGGTCAGGAATCAGAATACACTAGACATTTCTCAAAAACTCTGGAAGTGAGAGTCGAGCACCAGCCAGTCAGCAAAGAGCCTTAGATTCTGTGTTGGCAATGATTCCTGAGATCGAGGATTTAAACCCGGGAACAAAGAGAATGTTTGTTGAATTTTATCAAGGGGAAAGATGTTATTGCCCTTGTTTTCCTACAGCATTTGGGAAAAGCTTAATATACCTGTTAGCTAGGGGGACCAAACGTCCATTTTTCCCTAGACATGTCTGTATTCTGCATCCTATCCTGGGCGTCCAGGTTTTTTATTTTTATTTTTTTTAAGTGATGGAAATGTCCGGGTTTTCATTATCTTTCATTGGGGCCATTAAATTGAGCGTCTCTCGTAGCTCTCAGTGACTCAGAAGGAGTGAGTAGACACAAACAGTCAGTCAGCCTGCAACATGCCGAAGTGCAAATGTGCATTTAACAATGATTTGTACAAGAAATTCCCCGTTTTCTGCCCTGGACAAGTGGGAGGCCATGTGCACAGGTTGTGAGTTGACAGTAGCTCAATGTCGAGGCCCCACCCCCCACCCCCGGTAAGCTGTCTGGGTTTTCACAAACGGAAATATGGTCACCCTACTGTTAACCCCGTTAGTGGTGCATAACATACGTCACAATCAAATAGCAGCAATTGGTTAAATAAAAAAAGGACCCACCTACTGTCGAGCAAACAAATTCTAATGCTGTGAGGTCAAACGGTTTCTACGAAACAATAACAACGGTATTTTTTTCTACGATAACAAATACCATCACAAAACGAACTGCATACAAGACAAATAAATGCATTTTTCTAAACTTATTGTTCCATACAAAACTCATTTGACACTAATCAATCAGTTTATTTTGAATAGTTTTAAGTTGTGGGAGTAGGTTTTCATTTGAACTTTGACATATTTTATTACTGTAATTATTAATCCTTTATCTGTTTTATGACTCATTTAAAAATTCAACAAATGACGGACTGCAATTTGTTAGATTTTGCTTTGACTCTCCGTTCCATGAGCTATGCCATTTTAAATAGTCTATTTGCGTCAATCAAAATGCCTCTCCTTAATCTACTTTAACCTTGTAATTTCATGGTTCACCAAATGTGAATTCCTCTGCCGTCCTTTTTGTAATTGGTAGGAAAAAGGTTGTACTTTCCCCAAATCCAATCTCTTTCTGTGATGGCCATTTTGTCTCGCAAGTAAAAACAATCTGACCTTCAGCCACGTCTTTTGCTTCCCTCGTGCTTTGCTTTTGTGCAGTGTCCTTGTTTATTCCACCACATAAATTGCTGTTCCTTGTTAAAAGTGTGCCGTTATTAGTAAGTGCAGCAGAGGTGAGCTCTGACTTCATTGTGTCAGAGATGTGAGGTCTACTGAGCACGCTCACTAACTTCACTTCTCACTGTTGATGCTTTTAGAGGCTATGGTATTGATTAACTGCTGTTACAAACTCTTGCTTGCTGCAAATACATGGTGTGTGTTGTAATGTGTGATTGGTCACAGGATCTTTGTGAACAGAAGCCTGACACTAGAAAACATCAAATGCTATGGGTTTGATATGGACTACACATTGGCAAGTATGCAAAATAAAGCAAAAGTATACTATTGTATTTTAATACCACTTGTATGGGTTGTAATAAATGTTTTCGCTTCAACAGTTTACAAATCACCTGACTTTGAGAACATGTGCTTTGAGATGATCAGAGACCGACTGGTTTGTATGGGTTACCCTCATGATCTACTGCGCTACACCTATGACCCCAGCTTTCCCACAAGGTACTTTGCAATCTCACAAACACAAACACTGGAGTACTGCAAGATGTTTTTTTTTTTTTTTTTTTTTTTTTTAATACAACTGATAATTAGGTCTTATAATTATTGTTTTTTCCACCAGAGGTTTGGTGATTGACACAACATTTGGCAATCTCCTCAAGGTGGATTCAAATGGGAATATTCTGGTCAGCTCTCATGGCTTCTACTTTCTCAAAGGGTAAATGAGCATATCACAGTTTAAAATGGTTGCATTGTATTTTTATACAAATTAGTGTAATGTAAACTAAGGAAATCTGGGTATGGTTGGTACTTGGAAGGAAGACCACTGGGAATACCAGGTGCCACAGTGAGCCAGCAGTTTTAGTGCTCTAATGGAAACTCTTGTTGTCTTGGGTCTTGCAAGACACTGGAATGAATGTGGAGTGTTGTCGTAGGGGTCAATAGCGCTGATTGGCAGCCTGTCTATGGCAGGACAGCTGTGGCTCCAACAGTATCTTAAAACTATCAAGTGTGGACTGAATGAGCAATGCACTGTTAAGGCTCTATTGTGTACAATAAATGCTATAATAATAATAATAATAATAATAATAATAATAATGTTTTCCAGGTATGACATTAAAAAATATTATCCCAACAAGTTTATTCAGAGGCATGACACTGATCGCTTCTACAATCTCAGCACTCTCTTCAATCTGTCTGGTAAACTCCAAATTATTTCACAATTTTTATTTTCTTTGCAAATTTGATCCACACTTTTAAAAGTCTGATTGTAATTTGTCTTTAACAAAACATGACTTGATTTTTGACCTTCCATGTAAGAAACTTTCAAATTGAAAAATGAAAATAGAACAAAAGGCTGTTTAAAGTCATAACTCATTTGCTGATAATTGCTCTTACAATAAAATGGTATATTGTATCTAAAATGTTATGGGTCAGCAGTTCAAAAATTGAGTCTCATGTGAATGGCCTGTCCTTAACTCTCCAGAGACTTACATCTACTCCTGCCTCGTGGACTTCTTCACAAGATGCACACGATACGAAAAGTCAGTGAGCTGCTTTTATCTTTGCCTCTTTACACATTGTAAGAAACATAAGTTTGTGAATAATGGACCAAACACCCTGTCTGTCTGTTTTTGGACTGGTGTGAACTGCAGCCTAACCACAGGTTTCCAACATGGTGACCTGATGATGACCTTCAGAAGTATGTATCAGGATGTCCGAGCCGCCATGGATTACATTCATGACAAAGTGATTTTGTACTCTTTATTTTAGAAAGAAAATGAGGGTAAAATATTTCAGCTCTTATGAACAAACAAAACTTATATGATGATGCAATTAACTGAATTTCAGGGTGTCCTTAAGGACAAAACCATTAGGAATTTGGAGAAGTACGTAGAAAAGGATGTGAGTAACTTGTAATTATATCTTAGACATATTTTTCAAGTAGTTTATTTATTTTATTTTATTTTTTTTCAGCCTAATCTGCCATACTTTTTAACAAGAATTAAAGAGGTGGCCAAAGTGTTTCTGGCAACAAACAGTGACTACTGTTACACAGAAGTGAGTTTTCTTTATAAAAGCTGAAATCCATTCTATTTCGAAGTGCTATCTAACCTCCAATGTATGTTCAGGCTATAATGAAATACCTACTAGAAACCACAGTTAAGGTGAGACAATTACAATAATAAGTACCAGTGTTTGATGATAAGCCAACTGCATATTTTGATATTTCTCTTAGCCTGGCAGTCCCATAAAACCTTGGCGCTCCTACTTTGATCTCATTGTTGTGGACACCAGGAAGCCCCAGTTCTTTGGAGATGGGACAGTTCTGAGACAAGTGGACACGGTGTGAAAACAGTTAAATCTATATTAAATATCTGACAAAAGGAATAAATATGATGTTTAATGTGTTCACACAGGACACAGGAAAACTGCGTATTGGAACCTACATAGGGGACCTCCAGCATGGGACTGTGTATTCCGGAGGTACTAAGGGCCATGACTGGATGTATATTGACAATGATTAAAACTAACTTTATTTTACTTCAGTTTGTATCACTCTGTAAAGCAAGTACAGCTGAACTTTTGACTTGTGCCTTTAGGTTCCTCCGACGTAATTTGTGATCTGCTAAATGTCCAGGGGAAGGACATCCTGTATGTTGGAGACCATATCTTTGGAGATATCCTCAGATCCAAGAAGAGACAGGGCTGGAAAACGTTTCTGGTGGTACCTGAGCTGAGTAAGGAGCTGGAGGTGTGGGAGAAGAACAGAGGTAAAAAGGGAACTAAAACTAGAGGATAGCATATTTTCTAAATGTAACGTGTGTGTGTGTGCGTGTGTGTGTGTTAGGTCTGTTTGAGGAGCTCAAGCGCCTGGACATCTTCTTAGCAGAGCTTCACAAGTGAGATTATGAACACTCTAATTAGTTATTTATCCACTTTCTTGTTTAATTGTTACCATTCCACATAATATTGCATTGGTTTCAGAGTGATGAAAGAGTGAATACTGTATTCAGCACAGGATAGCACAACATGATGCCATACTCTAATGTGCTCTTTTTTCTTCATTTAAAGAAACGTGGACAGCACAGATCCAGAGATTCATGCTATTCAGTACAGAATGAAGGTCAGTTTTTTCAGCTTTGACACAAAAAATAGATTTGAAGAATGACTGAAACAACAATACAACTGAAAGCTTTCAAATCCTTTTTGATGCCTGAACACTGTGAACCGGAATTCTGAACGTGTTTCTTGTGTGGTTTACTTGGTGATCTCAGGTGCTGACCTACAGAATGGACATAGCCTACAGTCAGATGGGCAGCCTTCTGCGGAGTGGAGCCAGACAGACCCTCTTTGCCAGTCAACTAATAAGATATGCTGATCTCTACTCTACCAGCTGTATCAACCTACTCTTCTACCCACTCAATTACCTTTTCTTGGCCCCTCCAGTCCTGGTGAGTGCCCCCACCCCGAAGCACACACAGCTCAATCAAAGTACTTAACTTTTCATCACAGTTCTTCTACTCTTAGATGGCCCATGAAATGACCTCTGCAGACAACCCTCCCGACTATTCAGAGCTCTGACCTATATCTTCTCTCTGAGACATCTTGACTCACAGCAACCTACAACATAAACAGAAGAGTCTATTTTATATATATAAAAACAATCAGTCAGCTTAATACAATTACCTCTTGTTCATCAGTGGCATAAAGGTTAACAATGTCTTTGATGCTATTATCCCATTAGTTCAGATGCTAGTAGCTTGAAAGCAGCTCCCTCTGCTGGACATGGGCTCCCATCCAAAACGCACATAGACAATTCAAAGTGACATTTTTTTATTCATTTTAAAGTGGTTTAAATATGACTATTATAATATGTTAAATGTGCTTGCTTAAGATTGATTTACAGATACAATAAAAGATTAATATATTAATATAGAAAACTGGCAAGTAAAGAATTGTATTATTTAATTCGCTTTTAATATTTGTGTTTATTTGTGTTAAAGTCTGTATTAGCCCTTGTACTGCGGTTTGTGTCTTGCCCACCAGATGGCAGTGTATCCCACCAGGGACAATATTCTGCGCTCCAGTGCGAAATGCATGTAAATGTTTCGTTTATAATGCCTCACATACGTTTCTATAAGATGTGTACCGTGTTGAAACATTCTTGTTGTTTTCTCTTGTTGGGCTGTGGGACAGACCCCTGTGCTATCTCCTGTGCCTCAGACAGCCCTGCTCCCTGAGACTAAACTTTATCAGGTCACAGTGCACAGGAATTTGCTGTTTCTAAATCTCTGCCTGCACTCTTCATGGAAAAAAGCATCGTCAGACTAGCAGAGCAGCAAAAAATCAACTATATCAATTTATTATCACTGTCAGTGGAAATCGAAAACTGATTTGGAAGAAAAGTTTAAAGTGTTGATTGCCTCCATACTAGAACTGCACCATTCATTAAAGTGATATTTTGGTCAAATATTTGAGGAAGTAAACTACTGTGTACATGCGGGTGTGTAAATCTGATGCGTGGATGAATGCAGGTCAGGCTGAAAGGATGTACCCCTTCCATACACTGCCACCTCCTCCGGTTTCCAGGATGATTTCATTTCCTCAATTAAGACTATTTTAGCCCTTCTCTCACTGTGTTGTTCACCTGGATTAATCGTTGCTAGTTTCTTGTCTAATTTTTAAGAGTAGCTCCACCTTAGGAACTGAGTGATGGACCAATGTTGGAAAT